AAAAATTGAAATTCAGTCTCACCCTCCTAACATTTTCAATATCTAACTTTGAAATAACTAACATCTAACAACATCCGAAAAAAAAATGGTGACTTTTACTGCCATTTTTACCTCGTACTATCTACCACCGAAAACAAGCCAAACCATAATCTTGCTATAATTACTATACAATATGCAATATGCATCCTTTGGTCACATTTTGGATTTGTGTGCATAGTGAAAAAAAATAAATGACAGCATCACGTCGACACAGCAGAATGCGGGGAAACTGTAAGACATGTATAAAAACAAATTCAAACAAATACAAAAACCATAAGAGCAGCGCCATCTTCTGACGAAAATAAACAGACAGCTTACACACGCGATAAGAATTTCTACCACTAGGGCGATCAGCTATTACCAAAATAAAATAAAAATATTTTATTTCAAGGATTTAATTTTTAATATAGTTCAGTGGTTCTAAACCGCGGGTGTTCCGTGGACTTAGTATAAGTGTTCCACCAAAATTTTAAAATCAGTGAAAAAAAAATTCTTTCAAAATAGAATCACTTAGGTTCTGTTGGTTTATTTTTGTACACAAAAACGTTATCGTTAACTTTTAAATTATATAATGTGTCAGGATACTATATAATATATTAATATACATTATTATTACTATATTTTACGATAATCGCCACCATACTGCGATAACATACGTCATAGATATCGACAATTTTATTTTCCGCACTAATAAAAGTTATAAAATACATTAGTATTAGTGCGATGCCCACGGTTATCAACGTTAGACGCGTGTACAACTTCGTAAATAAGGATTCTGTTATTTTTTTAAGTAAGTTTATTTTGAAATTTATTTTATTTATTAATTTAATTTGTAACGACTATTTTAATAACAAAATGGACACATTTCTTAAACTAAAACATGATTCTGGTACTGATAATGCAAGTACAAATACAAGCAATATCAATGATGATACTTTCAATAATGAAAATAAAATAAAAAAGGTCAATAGACAATATTGCAACCATTTTTTAAATTTTGGGTTCACTTATGTTGACGAAAATTATTGTCGAATTCCCCTTTGTGTGGTTTGTTGAGAAAAGTTGTCTAGTAGCACAATAACACCATCGAAATTAAAACGGCATTTTTCATCTAAACACTCAAATCTCCAGTCTAAAGAAAAAAATTATTTTGAAAGGTTGTTGAATAATCAAATGAATCAAAGAAAACATTTTTAAAAAATTATAACAATATCTGATAAAGCACAAATCGCATCTTATAAATTAGCCTAAATAATTGCAAAAGAGTTAAAACCACACACCATAGCAGAGAGTTTGATTTTATCGGCATGTTCAGAAATAGTTAAAATTATGTTTGGCGATGATGCAAAAAAAGAAATTATGAAAATTCCGCATTCAGGTGATACAATAAAAAACAGAATTATACACATGGCAGATGATATTGAGAAAACTGTCACTAACAAGCTTACTACTAATAAACTATATTTCGCTTTGCAAATTGACGAGTCTACTGATATCAGTGGTATACCTCACGTACTAGGATTTGTTCGTTGCATTGATGAAAATAAAATACCGAATCAATTTTTATTCTGTAAACAACTTACTGAACGTACAACGGGGCAGAATGTTTTTGATTCAATTTCGTCACATTTAGATAAATTTAACATAACATGGGAGTATGGGACCAATGTGTAGGAATCTGCACCGACGGAGCTCCTTCAATGGTTGGTTCTATTAAAGGATTTACAACATTGGCGAAGAAATAAAATCCTAATATCAAATCTACACATTGTTTTTTACACCGAGAATCACTTATTTCGAAAATATTACCTATTACATTAAAGTCCGTATTGGATCACATTGTAAGCATGATTATTGATTAACTACATAAAATCACGTCCATTACAATCACCCCTATTTAAAAAAACTGTGTGAATCAATGTAAGCTCAGCACGTATGTTTACTTTTACATTGTGAAGTAAGATGGTTATCGCGAGGTGAAGTTCTAAATCGAATTCTGGAACTTAAGAATAAATTGTTAATGTTTTTTCAAAACGAAGGTAACATTGTTTTTATATCTTTTCTTACAGATGATATTTTGTGTGTTAAAATGGCATATTTAGCTGATATTTTTAATTATTTAAATAGCGTAAATGCAAGTATGTAAGGTAAAAACGAAAATATTCTTACATCCACGGATAAACTATTAACATTTTAAAAAAATATATATTTTTGGAGAACACGTATAATTCAAGGTTAGGACATGTTTCCTTCAATTAAAAATAATAATGAAATAATTCCTATTATAACAGAACCTTTAGTAGCATTATTAGAAGAAAAAATCACAAAATACTTTCCTGAATTGAATATTGAAAACTGAAAAGTATGATTGGATACGAAATCCATTTTCTACCATCAACACGTCACGTTATGAATTTACATTAGAAGAGGAAGAATGCATAGCGCTAACAACAGATTGAACACCAAAAATAAAATTTTCCGAAATAACAGTAGAAGAATTTTGGATTTCAGTTCAAACCGAATTTAAAAAAATTTCTTCAAATCAATTTCAATTAAAATACAATTTTCAACCTCATACTTGTTTGAGCTTGGATTTTCAATATTGATGAATATCAAAACAAAGAAACGAGAAAGGCTGATAAATATTGAAGAGGAAATGAGAGTAGCAATATCGTACATACGGCCAGACATTGAAAATATCTGTAAAAATCATCAGGCACAAATATCTCATACAAAGTGTTCAATTTCAAATTTTAAAATTTTTTTAAACTCTTTTTATTATTTTATTATTTTTAGTGACTAACACTAGCATGTATGACATGCAAACAATTTTATATTCATTGTTTAATATATTAAAAAAATTAAAAATGTATGTACCTTTTTTTTATTTTACGGTTGTGTTTCGCGAAAATCTTAGAAAATGAATGTTAAGTGTTCAGTCATTCGAAAAAGGTTAAGAACCACATTTTTGTATATAACTATATTATAGTTATATACAAAAATACACATTGTTACATTTTATATATTAATTTTTTTGGTAATAAGTATATCTATGCTATAAGTATACATTTTGAGAACCCACCATTATTAGGAGGTACTGTTGATGGACGGTTTTCTCCCCTCAAGTCATCAAGTTATGTATTATACTACTTTATCAAATTCACTTATTGTACTACTTGTTGTATAGATTGTAAATATTGCATTAAAAAAATAAAAATAAATAAATAAATAAAAAGTATATATTTTTAATTAAATATTAATATAGTGTGTTAATTACACTAATTAGCATTAAAAAAAATATTAATTGTTCAATCATTTTCATGTGGTTGTAAGTAATAATTGTATTCTTTTCCCTAGGGTCGGGGATTTTCTTTCGGCAATTTTTTATTACGATATGAGCACGGAACACGTGCAATATAAATTTAAAAAATATAAAATACTCACATTTACGGGCTATATGGCCATATAAACGTTACAATTGAAGCAGCCTGAAACAGTAAAATATTATTAGCATTGATAAAAAAATATTGTAACCGATGTCACTCAGGCATCACTCTATCGACGTTAAACAAAGTACAAACCGGCAACCGCCTAGAGCTTTTTCATGACGATATTCGTATTTTGTACGTTTCGGATATTATTCAGGATGATTCACCAAGCATGTTCATTGTTCAATGACGACGTTGACGATGACAGTGTCGAGGAACAACACTGATAATTAATGTTTTATGTTAAATTAAAAAAATGTAAATAAAAACAAATGTGAATTGTGATAGGTATGTAGAGTAGAGTGTAGTTGTCCGAAAATAATTATTATAGTGAAAACGTTATCAAAGTGATGCCCGTGTCGCCACTCGCTCGCTTCGCTGCGCTCGGACATACAAAAAGGAAAAATCCTTCGATTTGCTGTGCAGCGCCAACTCAAGTTGGTCACTGGGTAACCGCCGCGCGCCGTATAAACAATATAAATATACACGGTCTTAGAAGATTCTAGGTATCTACTAAGACCGTGTAAGTATAAGTAAAATCACCATGATTATGACAGCTAGGAACTTGGTTGCGGTAACAAAATAATATCAAGGCGGGTTTCCACTACACACGCGAGCGCATACGTGCATACAAATCATTTGCTGTGATTGGTTGTTTAGGTTAGGTTACCACACGATTACCCACATTACCGGGTTGTTGGGCATAGCTATTAGCTGAACATTTTTCGTGTACACGCCACACGGCACACGCATTGGTAATCGGAAAAAAAAGTCCCGGTAAAAAAGTCCCGGTAAAAAAAGTCCCACACTAGGAAAAAAAGTCCCGAAAAAAAAATATTATTCTTGTAGGTACTTGTACAGTTCTATAGTAAGTTGTGCTTTGTATTTTAGTGTGTAACTGTGTAAGTGTAATGAATAAAATGCTTGTACATAAATTTGTCATCTACCATAATAAGTAATAAATAATAGAAAAAAAAGTTTACTGGAAAATGCCAAAATACTTATTCTTATACTGCACTTGTACAGTTGTACTTTGTACTTATTTTAGTGTGTAATGTATTGGTAGGTATAAAATATATTTGTCCGCAGATGAAGCGAAATTAGCTTTAGATGCTGTAGGAGATTCGAAAACTGTTAAAAAACTAGGGCAAACTCGGACAGTAGAAAAACGGCTGCAAAATTTATGTATACAAATACAAGCGGGCAATATCGGTGTTTTAGATTTTTTAACAGCCGTAAGTCATAATATAAGAAAGAGGTGTACCTAATTATAATATTACATTTTTATAGCATTATTATTATAATTATATTGGTACTTTAATTGTATTATTATTATTTACTTTTATTTGACTTACTTATTATTGACTATTTATTATTGTAATAAATTGTAAGTAATTAACATCTTTTATGATATTATATGACTTTGTATGTATTTATATATTCATCGGGACTTTTTTTTCCTAGTGTGGGACTTCCACGCATTAGTGGAAACCCGCCTTTAATGAGGAAATTCTTGAAAACGGAAAACGTTGATGAAACGTTTAATAACGGAGAAATTCGGACTGTCTGTTAGCTAAACGAAGCTGCGAACGTGTTTGCAAACGCCATGATCCAGCGTGGCAGCGTTTTTCCTGTACACCTGTTTAGTTCTTTAGCTGGTTAAGTTCTTTAGAAGAACTAAAAGAGTACTATTTGTTTTGATAACCAATAAATTATATTTATACTTTTAGAGAGGTTTCATTATGGGCCATAACTACACAAGGAATGTGACTGAAAAACATAAATCTAGTTTTACGATTTAAACATCTTAAAGAATTGACAATTTCATTTTTTCCTGCTGATGGAACCAAGATGATGTCAACGTGTATTGATAACAAAACAAGGATATTTAATACAAAAAAATTTAATTCAGATGCTACAAGTAAGCTGGTCAATAATTTTAATGTTTCCTATAGTAATGTTCAATACATTATATGAGTTTCAAAATATGAAAAAGCTGAGGCAGGATGCTTAGTAGAAACTACTTATACTACTATAACTACTTTACCTATCCTATACCAACATTTTAGATAAAACAAATAACACATTTCAAAACTATCTAGACAAAAATAAAATTTTAAATTATTAAACTGTTGTTACCTATCAATTATTAGATGATCATCACAAACAAAATATCAAAATATACTAAGAAGTAAGAACAGTAATTTAATGTTGAATAATCTTATTTCAATCAATACATTTTATGTCAATGGCCAATGGGTCACCATAACTGAGGTATACCAATGAAAGTTAGATAACACGGATTGAATATTAATTCAAATATTATTTTTTAGAACCCACATACATAATTCCATATTTTAGACAGTATTATGATCATAGTTAACAAGCTAAATGGAATCCTGGAAGAATTATGCATTCTTCATTTCTTCAATGCCATTGCCAACAAGAGTATTTTTAATAATTGATCATTTATTCATATTTCAAATATTTGTAACAAAATAATCTTATATGAATTCTACTTAAAAGTATTAATTTAATTTGGTATTTAACAAGTTATTAGGATATATTAAGTATACAAGGTGATTTTTTAAGTATGCTTCACTCCCGTTTTTAATTTATAGTACATTTATTCAAATTCAGATTTTTAAAATCTTAAAATATACCTAAAGACGATATTTTCAAATGTCTGATATTTTTGCTACCTATTTCTATTTGAGGAATGTCTTGTGCCGATACAAACTACTTATTTTTCAAATAAAAACTCTCCCTCCCCATTTTATTCTATGTGTATATTACCTATTTTTTCTTTATAAGATCAGGCCACTTGGCATTGGTAAGTGGTTAGGGTTGGCGGCTCAAGAATTTCTTAGAAAAAATTAAAGAGAATAATTTTGGGACTATAAGAGCAATTAGTTACCGTCATTAATATTAAAGTTGAATATTCATGCTTGCCACTTGCCTTTTTATGTAGTACCATTTTTCTGGTTGAAAATGAGATAATTATTAGTTTACAGTGTTTATACCTATACTTCATATTTGTCAGTAGGTATTCATACTACAATAAAATGTACACATTAAATGTTGATACATATTATACCCATGTTGATTTTTTAATTATTACATTAAACTACAGTGAATGAGTGTACATGACGATGACTTGTGTTATAAACTTATTCTAGAGTAACTGACATAACTGATATTTTAATGAGGTGTATAAGAGCGACATAAGCTGTGTAACCAATATTTTATTTATTTTTTGTAAATTTAAAAAATAATTTTAAAAATATTTTAAAATATAGGTACTAAGAGTAATATAAAATGAGGGCCCAGATTTATTTATAGTACTGTAAATGAAAAATTCATGTGGGGGTCTGCCTGATGCTATGTAATACCTATTAGATATAGTAATTTGTATAAATTATTTATATTGATGTATCAATAAAATTTATCAAATCATTTAAGCAAACCCCTATAACTATTTTTATTGTAATAAGCAAGTAGAAATACTGCAGATACATTATAATATAAGCTAAAACATAATATACACAAAGAATTAAATCACTTAATCCTTGCTATCTCCCAGAACAAAGGTACATTATACACAATAAATATATAATTGTTGAAGAACAGAAGTTATAGAAAATTACAATTAAATTATTTTGTCGTAAATGACAAAAACTTGTTTTATTTTATTTTAAAAATGAGTTAAAATGCTTCAGTGCCATCAAATAATGATTTTAAAAATGATATAAAAATTATTAATTGATTTAAATCGAAATCACTCAAATACGATATGAAGAACATTTATCTTACTTGTTCTAACAAATATTCTTTCTTTTTTTTGTTTCTTATATTTGTATTAATGAAACTGTAAAAATTGGAGGAAGTTAAATTAGTTAGGCACTTGTCAAACATATATAAAATTATAAAAGTTCTCTAATCATTAAGGCATTAAATGTTTTATATTGGACAGTTATTAAAGTATTGGTATAATATTTTCATATGTGGTACTGGCTTTATGTGCAATTATAGCTCATACTTTAAGCCTAAAAAATTCAAATATACCTACAAAAAGTAGAAAAATGATTAAAATGCTCAAAAATTGATGAAAAAAAAAAATGACCTTTCAACCAAGACATGCAGAAAAACTACAAAATGTAATTTGTACCATTGAGTCCTTGACATAAGTTGAATTTATATAAATACTAGCTTTAGATAGAAGCATTAGAAAAAATGATGCAAAATGCATCATGTTCCAGCCCTTATTTATAATTAATAGCACCAACAAGTTTTTGATTTGTTTTATTCCTGTTAGTGCCGTAAAGCTTGTACTAGTTTTGAATTAGTAAATAGTTATTCTTAGATTGAATCCTGTATTCCTGTATCAAATATTAACCATATATTCAGTTTTGTCATGGTCAATTACTAATTGACATTAAAGTAGCAATAATCATGGATGTACATCATACCACAAGCAAAATGAACCTAAATATACATGGAATTGTGATTCCATTATCCCAACTAAAAGTGATGAGCCTCACAACAAGTGCATATTAAACAATAGGTATAATAATAGCACTGGTTCTGGAAAAAAATTTAATACACTTGTACAAGGAAAGAGAAGAAAAATTTACATTTGGAACAAAAAAACACTTCCAAATTAATTAACAATTAGACATTTAATAAAATAATTTAACTATATGATTATACCTAATTCAATAATCACGAAACTATGGTAGGTACAATAATGTTTATAAATAAGCTTATGTTAAGATTCCAAATCCTTAATAATTCTTTGAAATTAGATTTTTAAATAGGTACCTAGGTAACATTTAAGGAAAATGCATCGTCATGTCTTTTCACTTTTTCAGTTATAAAAATAATAATAACAAATAAGGGAATGATATTAATCATTTTTTTTAAATTAAACTAAACATTGCTCTTTAAAATATCCTAAAAATAAGTTTAAATTAAATAGAGAAATAAAAATTATAGCTCTATATTACATTTTTTTTAAAATCAATTAGTTCAACATTATAGATTAAATATGATTAAATATTTCCATTTCCTGTTCAATAGGTCTTGTGTTTCTTATAATTGACAGTCTGTATAAATAAAGGTACTTTTACCCGATAGTGTTGTTCTTGGTGGTTTTAAATCGATTGTCCAAGGTAAAAGGTATTGAGCACTTAATTTAAATACTTCCATTTCATCTGGATCTATTCTTGCTGCCATTCCTCTATTGAGCAAAAGATTAACTACTTCAGAAGCACTAGGCCTATTAGTAGGATCTAAGTTTACCATTTTTTTCAGCAATTTTTCAAGGCTTGTACTCAAAAATATAGTTTGAGGTAACGAAAATTCACCATTTCTCAGACGATGCCATTCTGGTCCATTTTTAGGTAAATGTTTGCGAGTTGCTGCCTCGTAAACTGTAAGCGCAGTAGAAAACACATCGACTTTCTGCAGCTGAGAATAATCGTCACGTAATAGTTCTTTAGGTAAATAACGAGAGTCTCCTTCCTCAATATTTCGGACATCTTCGACACATATTGTATGTCCAAAGTCACCAATCTTGTAAACAATATGTTTGTCAACTATGTCATCTTCGTCAACTAGACTATTGGCAAACAACAATGCCCCATTTGTTTTACATATCAGTATGTTGGATGCTTTTATGTCCAAATGAGCAAGTTTTATGGAATGAATGTGAGCCAAGCCATTGCACACATGCCACAACAATTGTCTCAGGGTATTGTCGCAGAACACATGATCAGACTCGTGTATCATGCGTTCCAGGGTGCCGCCGTGACAGAACTCCGTTTGAATATAAATGTGACCCCTCTCGAACCAGGCTGTGAAGTATGAGACCAAGTTTGGATGTCGACCTAACACCGAGTTTGCGTACACCTCCTTGCGGACCAAATGCTCAGGGCTCTTGTGCATTGTCTGTTTGATTTTTTTAATCGCGTAAGTTGCCCCGTCCAACAAATTTGTGCACTTGTATATGACGCCGAAGCTACCGGTGGCGATGAACTCGTCTACTTTAAACTCTTCGTTGAATCGAGACGTCTGTAATTCGCGTATACTGACGTTGGTCACCTGGCCGCTGTTCACCAGATGTCTGACGATGGACGGGTGGACGAGAGCAGGGGACTTGTTGTCTGGCGGTGTGCACTGTCCGAAGCGGTGGTCACTGACCTCGGGACCGGCGATGCTGTCTTTGTTCGATCCGTGAGCGCGTTTCTTCCGGTTTTTTAAAATCGCAATACCGGTCGGCGTGAATGGATTTACCGACACTTGGAACTTGGAGGTGATTCTAGCGGATCCCCCGGGCTGCCGGACTCGCGGAACGGTGACGGGGACCAACCGCGGCGTAGACGGGGGCAGACGATCGGCGACCAACCGCGGTGTGGACGGGGGCAAACGATCGGCGACCAACCGCGGTGTGGACGGGGGCAGACAGTCGTCGCCCAATTGTGGTTTGGTCGGTGACAAACTGTTGCCCGCCTGAAGTCTGGTCCTTGCAAAATAACAAACGATCAAACACAGAACGAGGAAAACACTGAAATAACCGACGGAGATGTCCATGACAGTAAATTACTCTTGGGACGCTATTTACAAGACGTCCGTCATGTTTTTCCTACAAACGCGAAACGGATACACTTCGGAAATCGGCACCTGCCAACTGAGACGTCGTGTGAACAGCGTGGCTTAAGTCTAAAGTCTAAGGAGGATCGTCAAAAATATTTTCTCCGAAGTCCTAGTTGCGAACGTCGACCCACGCGTTTCCAGTTTCCCGCGAATGTGGATAAGATTTTCACTTTTTATCGACACGACGACGTCCGACAAGATTATATCTGGAATTTTCGTACCAACTTAAGGTCCTTCGAAAGTTAATGGTCGACTGCAGTAACGTTCGTTAATATTTCAAAAAAAAGTTTCATACATTTTTTCTCATGCCGATTGTTATCACTATCACTGTATTTTAAAAATAGCACAGCCGCTAAAAGATAAGTCCGTTATTGTTAATTAAAGGATTGGGGTACTTGTCCCGAAATTTCATGGAGGAATAAAAAAAAAGGAAAAAAAAGATAAACCAACTTTGCTAACTTTAAATGAGTTCGAATTTTCAATTCAGAATTTAGTATTCCTAAATGCACCCACCTTGTTGAATACAAAATCAATTGTGTATTTAAAAATTACCGCCTTTTTGTATTTTATTGTTGTATTTTGTAACGGTTTTTCCAAGACGTTTTTCCCAGTTTCCCACCATCACGATTCACAAAGTACGAAGTACGAACGATCTGCATCAAACGATGTCACGATGAAACGATGACTCTCTTAACAGCTCTCAAACCCAGTGGTACTCTAAGACCTCGGTTATTTTCGAATTTTTCGTTTACCTCTTTGTACCATTGTTTGTCGTTTACGCCAACCTTTACCTTACGGCTTACGCCTTTTACTGTCGTTCAAAACTTTGACCATAGGTCATACCACTGACTCAGTTCGTGCTATCGTACTTGGTTTGTTGAAAGTTTGATTATATCATACCGCTGACTTAGTGCTGTTGCACGTGTTTGTTTTGAATATTTAACTATTACTTATTAATCATACCGCCGATGAAACATGGTTTTTTAAAAATTTGACCATCAATTTTCACTGACCGTTTTATTAGTTTATATTGTTTTGGATTTGTATCGTTCTAAATGTCCTACTCACTTTTAGTGGTTCTTCCAATTATCTTCGCAATAACTTATCACTATAATCATAACTACTCTTTTTTTGTTGTATTTTTGTCTACTCATTTTAGGTTTATATGACTAATGATGAACAAAGAGAAATTAATCGCTCTCCCAGTTTATTTGGTGGACCACGACTACTTCCTGCCAGTTGTATATGAAGATGACCATATACTGCAAGAAGAAGAAGTAGAGGAACATATCATTGAAGCATGAGTGTGTGAAACATATACTTTGACAAGGCCGTAACTGGAAATTAATTTCGGGGGAGGGGGTACTTTGATTCCTGGAGTTCATAGAGGGTCGAGGATATATGTGGAAAATCTGGGATTCAAGTATTACAAATGACAAATCCGAGGACACCGCATATATGTATAATAGTTAACACAATTTTATTACTTACCTACTTGGCTAATGATAATAATATTATGACATATAATGTATATACATATTATAGGTATTTAGTATGTGAACGGCAGAAGAAACGGAACTAGTTCTGTCCTTCCACTGCAACAGTAAGTACAAATATTAATGACAATAGAATCCATTTAGGGTATTACCGTGACCACCAGCCTGGAGTGATTGATCTGAATGTGCCGTTTTTGAGGGAAGCCCTTGGTAAAAGAGGAATTGATCCAGCAGTTACAACCTTTTTTATGAGAACTTTGTACAATAATAAAATTATCAAGTGAGTTGTATTTAAACTTTTCTGTGTATGATAAATAATTATTTATTACTTGTTAGTATTAGGTAGGTACCTAATAATTATACAGTTAAACTTGAAAATAATGAAAAATATAAAGTAATATTTTTTAAAACTTAATTATTAACTGAGTTTCTCTTGGTTTTTTTAGCCATCCAGAAGCAGCTCCCAGCTACACATTTATTCAGGCTCAAGAGCGAGTGAAAAAGATGAGACGTCGAAGATTCCCAGGACAACCCCTTGACATTGAACAACTTGCAGTTACTCTGAATGAAGAATGTAATGCCATTTACATGTTTACAGTTCAAAATTCCCCATCTAGGTAAATACAATTGTTTATTCTAAATTATACCTAATAAGTTATTATATAAATAGCCACATACGGCAATGATATGGATAGATATTTGTATCTTACATTCCATTCAATTTTAAATTAACAGTTACTGATGAGAAATGTACATATTACTTACATAAGTGCATTATACTTAAATACTATTATAGTATTTAAGTATAATGCACATATTACTTACATAAGTGTACAGTAATTTATCTACTCCAGATTAATGATTAACATTCTATAGACACATTTATTTGTGTTTTTTTTTTTGTTTTAATTGTATTTAATCCATTTTTACTGTCAAATAGTACAATATTGCTATAAAAATACATTGTCAGATCATAAAATAAATTATATATGAATAACAATCTATATTATAAATAAATACTGTTGACATATTTATCACATGTCAGTAGTGTAGTAACTTAAGTATAATTTCTTTAATTTATGTATGATTTAATGAGAACTATATTAATATTTTTAGTAATATGAAATATTGTATCTAAATTGTTTGTTATGATTATTTTATTATAAGCTAAATTGTTTTTTTAGTTACTGACATGCAAATTGCATATTTAATTATAATTCAGTTACAAAAAAATAATATTATACCATGGTGTATTTGTTGTTGTCAATACTTTTTTTTTTTTAAACCATACATTTTCAAATTGTATAATGTATTATATTGGATTGTTTTAAAGTAAAATATTTCAAATCATTATACATTATATTTTAAAAATTATCAGGTTCTTTCAACAAACATATTATTTTTACTGTATGTGTCTTGCTCTAACATAAATTATATCAAATATTACAATAATTTATTTCATACTGAAAAATAACTTTGCTTACAGAGAAACTGACTGTCATTGAAAACCAGTATTTCGTTGAATTTGAGCAAGCCAGAAGAAACCTTAAGGTGATAAGTATTTTTTTTTTGTGACAAATATGTTTTTAGGCATTTAATTTTTCTAACACTTAGTTTATCACCATAGGATATGAATGAAATGTAAAAAAAAAATTATATATGATTATTAATTCATATTTATGATTCATCCATTTTCTTCGAGGTGGAAAATATTGAGTAGTGTGCTATGTTTATGTCACACAATCACTACTTTATATTATAAAAGTTCAATTTTTATTTTAGGCATATTACATATGATAATTACATTTCAGATTAGAGATGGAGCATCAATAACGGAACAAGAGAACACTACCATTATCTTAGCCAATCATGTGAAGCAACTAAACAGAGATGAGTACCTCATTGGATTTTTGAGAAGAGCTGGACACCGCAATGATGCATATGTACAAGGCATAATTGGACTATATCCACAGGTTAAAATATTGTATAATTGCAGATCTATTTTGAAATCTAATTAACATGATTGTTTTTGATTTTTAATAGGATCAGTAAGTTGAACTTTTTGTTTTGTGTGTGCAGTACCAGTGATATATTTTATTTTATTAAACTCTTCTCATTCAAAATACCATATCCCAAGGCTGGCCAAGTTAATGATATAATAACATTTTTTAACTCTTCTTTTTTAAATCTAAATAAAGTTTACTCATAATAGTCCTATCAATTGAATTCAAGTCAAGTTAATTAAAAAGAAATTAAGTTTCAGTTTTTACATAACTAAAATTAAAATATTATCTAGTGACATAGAGTATTAATTTGTATTAACTACAAACCTACTACAATCTTAATAACTATCATAGGTGTTTACAATATTTTATACCAAAATATAAAATTATAATAATTAAAAGTTAATTCTTTGTACTACTTAAGTTAATAATAATAAGAATAAATTAACTTAAACTTGTAAACACGCTAATGCCCAACTTTTCCATATCCCTTCTTTTAAATTTTTTTCATCCATCATCCCTAATGAATTGTTCTATAGTGATTTTACATTTATTATTTTGAATAAAGAATTTATTGAATGCAAGAAATATGATATTATTTGTAAGTTTATTTCTCTCAAAGTTACCTATTTTATGCAACTTGTAAAGTATTGATCTACAAGTCGATTATACAAAAAAATTTATTGGTAAACTATTTTTTGAAGTATTTAAGTCCATCAAATTTCAGTACAATGTTTTTATATCTTAAATAAAGTATTTTCAATGATGTAAATAAAAATCTAATTATATAATTTATGAGAATTACATTGTTAACAGGCGGTTTAGCAAACTTTAATTTTTAGTTTTGAATATCATTACATTATACTGTAGAAAATGTGTAAAATCATACATTTATTTAAAGGGGTAAGTTAATTCTACTACATTGTAAATTATAATTTTTTTTTAAATTTGTTATGGATATTTGAGTAAAAAATAAATAAATATATTGTGTAATTTAAAAAAAAAATCAATATTTAATGTGATTCATTCTAAGGAATATATATGAAAAACAATATTAGTATAAGGTGTGTGACTAATGTAATCAAGTGACCAGAAAATCATAACTAAAGTAAAATAGTGGACTACTATAGCCCCAAAAATAAAATAAACTATAAATTTTAAAGATGGAAAACAAATTTAACATTTACATTACCAATGACTTGGGGATAATTGTTAACTTTTATAATATATATGCAATAATCACCGAGATTAAAGCAAGTTTAATACTTAGAATGTTACCTAGTTTACTAGGGTAGTAGGTACTGACAATTTTGGTTCTTAAATTAGTGTTCTTAACGAGAAAAAATATATTTAGTTCTTTCAGTGTTTTCATGCGTCTTTAAAAACTGACCTTAACATTTATTACTGAGTCTAAGTGAGTGTTTTTAGATATTCTGAAACATCATACTTGGCTACAATAATTAATTGTATTATACTATTTTGAATCTAAACCCAATGTAAAAATTAATTGAATCTGAATTGCAAAGTTATTTTTGAGACGACCATCTTTCAGTACCTATTACAGTTTAAAACAATGATAATTTTAAGTTAACCATATACAAAAAATATGTAAAGGGAGCACATAAAGGCCTTGCATATCCATCCTACATCTATTGATTAAAATTGATCACAATATTTATTTATGTAAAAATTGTTGATGTTGTTTGTATTTAAGGAAAAATATTACACTTCAATTTTGTTATCATTCTGTTTTTAAACCATATTATGTTAAATACAATATTAAATATGTGTAAAAAGAAAATTACACATGAACTGATAACATTATTGAATTATTGTTTCATCAGACATATAGTTGGTAAATTATTATTAGAACATATTTGGATAAGAAAAAGTTGAGTAAGAAAATGTATCAAAAAGTTAAGCCACAGAAATCTCAAATAACTGTAAAAATGTATATTTTATGAGATTAGGTATTATAAATTGGATGGCTAAAAATGTTTTTGCACAATTAATAATTTTCCACTAGATTATTTATTTTATCTCAAT